GGTCTTGCACTTTACCAACAGTCACGGATGAGGCGCAAGTCATAGCCAAACAATGTCACGCACTCCTAAAACAACTGAGTGTCACGCCAGAGGACATGCGGGGCATGGGAATTCAAGTGAGCAAGTTGAACGACAAAAAGGCTGGTACTTCCAATAAGAACACAAGATCACTCTTTGATTTTATGAAACCTCAATCGAGTGACAATGAAGATGTTACTGAACCCTCTGCTTCTGAAAGAGCACCTGAAAACAAAGGAGAAAATCACTTTAGGTCACCAGCAGAAAGCCCTGTGCGGGAAAGAGGCGACACTGCGTTGACACTTCCACCTTTACCAAAGTTCTCGCCCCAGATCGCTCTGCAAGCTCGGAATTCTAGGTCAGAGAAAAGGCCGGGCGACTTGGGAGAGAGCCTATACTTGCCCTCTCCGTCACAGATTGATCCGACAGTACTCGAGGCTTTACCTGAAGACATTCGGAGGAGTATCGAGAAATCATATGCTGCAAGAAATAAGAAAATTCCTGCGGCCAAAACAGGAAGGCAAGAGGTTGGTTTGCCTCTTTTTGTACGTTTAAGTTTATAATTGGGGCTGTATTCGTGCTGATAAGATATTTCTTTCTCCATTTGATTATACAGAGACACCTCGAATTCGTGAGGTGCTAAGGGAGTGGAAAATGTAATCGTAAAATGCGATACATCAGGATTTTCATTTGAAAGATTGTATCGTTGTGGGGTCGAAGTATGTTTTGTTTGCAATCATTAGGGGTCTCATTGTATCGAGTTTCCAATGTTGTAAATGAGGCTGTTAATCAATTTGAGCGTAGGGATATTTCTATAATCGCAGCGTAATGAAAGATGTTTGACTTGTTCGACTAAATTAAACTTCACACAGAAATTCGGTAACAGATGCCGTCTGCAGGAAGACACTTTCTGTAAGCATACATGTCGCCATTGTCCAAATCACGCACCTTTCTGATTACGGGGATTCCAGCTTTTAGAGAGCACGACTGTTTTAAGTATTATTAAGGATTGATATGCTCGTGTAAAATACCAGATGAACTATTTACCTCACATTCAGGAAGATGAGACCACGCCGAAACAAATCCCTCAAAAGAATAGTATTAAAAACAAGAAGGGCAAGGCAGCCTCAAAACCCTCTCGGATTCTATTTGAAGACAATCATTTGCCAGAAGAAGGGGCTCAAAGGGCTTCAGATTTGTTGCCCTCCCCATCACAAATTGATCCGGAATTTCTCGCAGCACTTCCTGAAGACGTAAGACAGGAAATAGAACAGGCTTGTAAACAAAAAAACTTGCTTGGTGCTCCTTCTAACGTCCACGAGGGACGCCTTGGTGATCATTTCTCAGATTTTGCATCTGAACATAAAACAGAAAGGACTTTTACGACAAGACTTCAAGCAGAGGATGTAAACAATACAAGAAAAAGTCAGATCATCGCTCCACCTAAACAGGTACCAAATTTCTGTAGCCTAGAGAATACCTCGTGATCTAACAAAATGGTCTTAGACGAGAGTGTTTCAAATTGTTTTTCTTCTCTATCGTGAAAAGAGTTACATTCGGTAACAGAAAATTCCATTCTCGAAATTTAGTTTTTTCTAATCTTATACAATTTTTTTTCGCTCTTCTACCAAAAATTGTAATCTGTATCCGTCACACGTACAACTAGTTAACATATGGCATACCTTTTACTATACTTTTCTGGGCCTTGGTATTCTAGGAGTATGTTTTCTACGCCTCAAGCAGGTTGCTTGTTTTTACTTCGTGATGTCTTTGGTTAATGATGTTATTACCCTTTGTTCTGAATGTTATTTGTGATAAATATGGTAAAAGGACCGAGTGGAGTCCAATTCGGTCTGAAATCATACGAGTGATTAACAGAATTGGACGACACGAGGTCCTGTTACCAATTAATCATAACCGAAAAAAAAAACCTTTAGGACAAACATCTCCGGTAGAGACAGTGTCTAAAGTAAATAATCCTCTATCTTAAAAATTTCCCAGTTGTTTTTCGGATGAGTGGTTGTTCCAATTGTTATTGTGATCAATTCTGTGATTTGTGGATTTAGCCGAGTGGACCTAGTATGATTGGCTGCTTCAACTGTCCGATTACAGGTTTCCGACTACAGTCGAATTACGCAGTCCGATTACAACAGTACAGAATGATTAGTGAAACATAAAGCAGCTAATGCACCAATCACATTTGCGGAAATTGTAATGATTATGATTAATATGATAATGGATTTGGTTTTAAAGCATCATTTGAAAACTACTCTAGTGGCACATTATTACGCGAAAATATAAGTACTAATTTACAAGCTTGGTGTACTACATTGTCTCGCTCCATGTTTGGCAAACATTGTTCAGTCGTCTCAAGAACGGTTGTCGTCTCAGGACAAGATTCTGTTAAATAGAATTACGATGACGACAGTTAGGAACATCTCTGGAGGAAGATTTTCTGTAACTTCTTGGAAGTTGAGATTAAGTAACTATTTGTGGCAGCCATGACACGATGTTCTTCCTCTGAGTTGTTTTTCAGTGGCTGCTTTTGCCTTCTCTCTTGACTTAGTTATCTTATAGTTTTAACCTTACAAAGTAAATGAACTTGGAATTACTTTTTAAATGTTGGAAAACGTGCTGGGCAACAAGTTACAACATTCCATCTGTTGATCGAGAAATATTGAAAGATGTTGTATCCTGTGTTGCTGGCTTAGTTTGATCCTAGTGAATTACATTCTATATTCCTTGATATAGGCGCGTTTGGGAGAGGCTGTTACCCTTTATGATGTAAAGAAAGTAATTACAGACTGGACTTCCGCTTATGAAGGTAGATTTTGCCTTGTCATCTAGTAAGACTACGAGCAGACCCTCTTATCGGTGAAGTCTGTCGCGGGAGTGAAAAAAGATCAGCGAATAAAAAAAAAAGATGACGTTCAGTTGGCAAGCCGCATGGGAATCTGACCGTAAGACGCAGAGTTCTACACGGCGTGCTAATATCAATTTTATTTCCATTGATTTTTTCTGCTTGCGCGACGGACTTTGCCGAAAAGAAGAGACTGCTCGTAATTTGTCTTCTGGTAGAAGTAACAGTTACAGGTAAATAAAAAATAGAAATCGTATCTCAAACTTCTACCATCACCGCTTCTCCAACTTGCGTCATGAAGTTAACGTTTGGTCATTTGTGGGTACATTGCTCCTTAAAAGTCTATAAGTTCTTGACCTTGGATATTTTTTTCTTGCAGCTCCTTTAGAAGAAGATGTTGAAGTGTTTAGTGAGTATTTGTTACAGCTTATTGGAATGAAAAACTTAGAGCAGTTATGGAAAGTGTTAAAATTTCTCGACAGGTATTGTATTCATTTTATTATGCTTGATCTTCATTACTGATAAAGGAGACTAATTACAGTCCTTTGGGTGAAGAAACTTAAAAAATTCCTCGTCGTTGTCGCCAAGGATTGCTGTAATGCGCAAAGAAAGCACCCCAGTCATCAAGAATATCGTTAGCTGAATTGCGAGTAAGGACCTAGATAAGCTTATGGCATTACGTCAGTTTTTGATACTGTGACTGGACGAGTGAATAAGAATAAAAGTCGTGTGGGGCTTGAACTAAACAACTTTGTTGAACTTACTAAATTGACTGATTTTGCGAAGGAAGGGGACATTTTCCTGTGGCTATGTCATAATAACATCCTTTTTTTGTGTGGTGTAGGAGAATCGAAGGACGTGAAGATTGGAAAAATATGTGTTGCTCCGTTTTAGAGCAAGTTCAGCACCACCTCCAGCAAAAATACTCAAGCAAGTTATCTGTTAAGTCGCTGAAATTCTGCAGCTCATGAGTTCGCTAATGTTTCATTTCACTTTACATATGTATCGTAAGTGACGTCAACAAAAATTTTTAAATGAAAGCCGAAGGAAACAGGAAGCTGAAGATTTTTATAAAGGGGGTGAGTTTCCAAAGAAAGTGTGGTGTTAGTAGGGGGGAGGAAGGGGAAGGGGTATTAGAAGATAATTTCGTTTGGTCATTGTAGATTGGCTACTGTAAAGAGTTTCTAAAACTTAAACTTTTTTTGGAACCGAGAATTGCAAAAAACTGAAAGAAAGGATAAAAGAACAAAAATAAGGAACCCAACGCGCACATCATGGATCCTACGTAAGGTAACTTGGGCAATTAACAGAGCTCAAATTAAGGTACAAACACCATTTTCAATGAACGGGAAGGCTCCGTAGAGACAAGGAAAATAAACAAATTTATTAACATAGGAGGCGCGTTTATGTAGTGCTGTGCATTTAAGTAAGATACAATTAATAGCATAAAAATGCTACAAGGGATTTTTTAGTGGTACGTGAAATATTTAAATTACGGATGATCAGAAAAGATGTCCCAGAATAATTAGAGATTAAGCTGCAAAAATTCATCTAAAGTCATGGTTTTCGAGCCATAGGTTTTTGAAATTCCCTGATGTTTCCGTGACAAATGTAGAATTGACCATTTAAAATTTAAGTCCTGATATTGGCCTCAGTTCAACCTCCCCTCCATCGTTTTCTCTATGCTTCTAGTGAGTCACATGCAGTGCACGTGAACTGACCGTTCCTTAACGCAACATGGAAATATATTTGCTTTTCTTGGAAACCTGATACCATTGTGTTGTTCAATTTCATTCAGCAATACTCTATCAATCCAACATGTTTCGTGTGATTGAAACGTACTAAAGAATTTGAAATGTTAAAAAGTATGGAAAAAAGAGAAGTTTCATCCACAAAACAACTTGACCTGGATTAAGAGGGGAATAATCCCTCCTAATCGAGAGAAGAGGATTATCAACTGTCAAAAAGTGTCAGCATTTTCCATCTCCCTTTGAAGGAATATTTTTTCTCTACCTTCTTCCTGACCTGTAACAGCCATGAAAGCATTTTCGTGCGAGCGAAAGGAGACGGAATGACAATTGAAACAGACTGTCCACAAAAGTTAAATGAAAGAGACAATCAATATTGTCCAACGAACCAGTTTATTTCAGCCACTCTTGCACGTCTTTTAATACAGTCCCAGGCCACCCGCCTGCAGGTAGTGTACCGCCCTTGAGTGTTATACCGCTGACTATCATACGACATGAATCAACGCTGTTACTATCCAGTTACTAGGTACACCACTACACGATTCAAGGTATCCCTGCTACACAACCTGCCATAAAACCAAATCCGTTATATAGATGACAGAGATTCTAATTTTGGTTTCAGAAGGACACTATTCCCGAAGTAAGTTAGTGCAGCAAAATTAAAGAAAGTGAAATTTGATTTTGTAATTAATAGCAAGTCTCATTAACTATCGTATTAATTTTTGAGGGTAATTCTAATTGTATCAATTAATGTAGCAGAGAGAAAAATATCACAGCGTCGTACCCTTTATCAAAGCTAATAACTATAAAGATATTGGACCAAGCTGAAACTAACTAAACCAATATTTATGACAGAAAGTACTATACACAGCGATTAAGTCGCTTAGACACCAAACTAGGTAAAGAAAACAATTGGAGCCCCAATAACGGGAATTTACACTCTCCATCCCTGAACTATACAATGTTGCCTTCCCGACAAATATCCCATAAAACTTAATAACTTACTAAATAATTTTCAAATATAATTTTTCTTGAAAAACAAATGGAAAGCGAACTTTCCATGCGAATTGTTAGCTCTTCTGCCCTGACGAACCGTAAATTAATATTCCAATAAAATATATCACCTGAATAAATTACATTCAATTAAATGAGTATTTGTAAGAGAGCCTCAAAGGGTTAAGAAACGTAATTTTGAAGATTCCGTTGTGCCTGTGACAATTGACCGGTCGGTTTTGGTATGTTTTCATCAGTCGTTCAAACACCAACAATACCAGTTTTAGTTCCGCTTCATCCTCTTAAATGACATAATTTATCCCCTTTTATCCTCTAAATCAATCTCGTTCCCAAGGTCCTCTCGTTTCCTTCCTCAAGGGAGGAAGATTGAGGACTCTGGGAACGAAGTTGCCTCCAAATAAGATTCTATCTCTCTATCCACCGATTTTCCTAGTTTCCTTTCAGTGGCAGATGACGGAAAATATCTTGACATTCTATGTCAATAAATCAATAAGTGTCATATTGATTTCACTACTGGTGAAATCGAAATTATTCCCCTTCCAGGAGATATTATACAATAACAGTAAGAAAAACAAATAATATCTAAAGATCTGAAAATCAGATATCAACCCGTCGCCATAAGGACGTTCCCCATAACTTATATTTTGATAGCAATTGCGATCAGCCTAATACCTCAGCGTATAACATAGTTTTAACGGTAATAAATAATCTATTTTTCTGCTATCTCATCGTGACCTTGAGAGTTGTGAGGGTTTTTAATGAATAGAATAAACTGTCTGACACATCAAAGATTAAGGATCTTTGAGCGTTTTCAACATTTGAAAATTCTTTTGAAACTGACCAATGAAGACCAAAGAAACCTTCATACCGAAATAAATAACTTTACAGTGAAAAAGACGAAGAAGAAAAAAAAAATAAAAACGGCGAAAAACAAGAAACTTTAAGAAAGTCATGGAAATGTTGTGTAATTTTCAGAGAGGAAATAAAAACTCTCAACATCTCAGCATCCGTTCTCTCCTGCATGCACTAAAAATCTTTCTTATAACTTTTTATTTCATTAATTGGGAGGAAATCAGCTCAAGCGACTAAAACTACGCACGACAACAGTTGATTTTAAGGATATAAATATATCAATAATTATTTTTGCCATTCTTTAAACCAATCACGTACACCGTCACCATTGTTACTTATACACCCACACAGCTGAAGCGTATATAGTATGGCTTCTGCATCTCAACTACAATGTCACCCAGCTACAAAAGCATAAACGGTTTGCAAGACCTGAAAATAATGAGGTGACCGGTAGTTTTCAGAGGAGAAATTTTGAACTATAGTTGACCATAAAAATACACCCAGAAAAAAACTGGCGTTGTGCAGTACCACGTGACCCTTCACGTAGCCTGGAGTCACGCAAATTTGAGCATAGTGTGACGCGATCACGCGATGCACATTTTCAGGACTTGCAATTTCCTTTCTACACTAAAAAAGGCAAACATCAGTTAGGGTATATAATCTTCCTCCAGATCGTCGGCACTTTCACCATCACTCTTTCCTCCCATTAGATTGTGGTGATCAGACAACGCCTGCTTAGCAAGATACGCTTCGCGCTTGATCTTGATCTCAAGCGATTGTGGTACATCTGGCACCAGTAAGTCGATCAAACGAGACACGAAGAACACAAAGTGCTACAAGGAGAGTATAAGAGAGTCCAGGTTTCAGTGGTATCCGGTCGTTTCGTACTTACTCGTTTTGTGCTCAAATGCATTCGATTCTTACCTAAGTTTAGGTCGGTTCGTACCCAACCCGCTCATCGATTCATACATTTAATCAAAATGCATCACGCGCCAGCGCGTGAACAGATATCAATCGTTGCGTATGACAAAAAAGTTGAGTAAAACGAGTAAGCAACTTAATTATTGCCTAGCTCACGGTGAGTGTGAAATTTTATAGAAAAGTCTATTGTTGATACTTGTGTTTTTTTTTTTTTTAACAATAATAGCTCGTGTAAATGTTATCTTTTTTCTTCACTTAATACATGGAAAACATACTTTGTTAGTTTAGGTGTGAAATGACCGAGAGGGGTACGAAATGACTCAACTGACAGGGAACGAAACGACCGTGGGTACGAAACGACCGGGTACGAAACGACCGTGGTTACTCAACGACTGGTAACCGTTTTAGTGAGGCTATGGTGTTCGCTCATCAAGTTGTTAAGCAATAGGGCGTGAGGTTATGACGGTAGAATCACGTGACACAATACTATTTTGGGAGCCCACGAGAGCTCACAGGATATTCCGATTTACTTTGGAGTAAACAACTGAGATAGCTACATCGACTGAATTACTTACAAGCATCACGATTAGAAAGAGACAATCTCACCTCAAACATGATGACAAATCCTAGCCGAAGGGCTAACAGATGCCAGTAAAAACTAGTGAAGTGACCCTCACGATCTCTAAACTCTGCGTATCTGAAAAAGTTCAACAGAAGTGGAATAAATCAGTCTGAGAAGATTCGCGAAATCATAATTCGAACGCTGTACAGCATAACAGAAAAAATTCAAACTACTGGCTACATTGAAATCTAACGAATTCCTAGCATGGAGCTCATTAAATTTGGGTTTCAGTGCCTCCGTAACAGATAATTGTGATATCACCGGCATCCCGTTAAGGTTCAAAACTCGGAAATTGACTTTGGGTCAACATAAAAGCCTTCCTTACATGCAACAACTCGCTTGATAGATAAATTATGTCTTGTGTATCTACGTAGAAAATTACTCACAAGACTTAGGCATACCTGCATGGTACAGCCGTAGTGTTATGGGGAGACCAAGCCAAGGAGAAGTTAAGATATCCCTCTAGGGAATTGTTTTCTGATATTGCAAAGCGGTACAGGATCTTTGGCAAGAAGGTTGAGGTGAAAGCGATGAGGAAGGCCTGCAGAAAAAAAGTTATAAACACAGATATAGAGCACATTTTTGCCTTATTGACTTGGCATCACATGAAAAATCTCCAGCAGTAGAAAACGTATTCAGAGACTTAAACAAGTTCTAAGTTCGTTGTTTACACGAGAGTAATCGACTATTGTGCAAGCCACCTTGTGATTGATGTTTAATTTATTTCCGTTATTGTGATTGGATATTTCTACTTACGTTGCTGATGACGGCTATCTTAGCAACACTGTCCAGAATGTCAAACCAGATGCCGATATCTTGAGCCCTGTCGGCGATGGGTCGTCTCACCTCACAAACGAACTTGTCTGAGTCAATGCGAATCTCAAAGATGTTGTTGGCGAGAGCGAAGAACGGAGCCAGAGGAAAGGCAGCCACAAAGATTGTAATGAAACCGAACTGGAGAACTTTTTGGGTGAAAACAACAGTTTGTAAGAAAAATTGTACATCACCAAGCTAAATTTTTAGTTGGATATTTTCAGATGTTTCCTTCTTGGCAGAAATTGTGATATGAACTTCACTACTAGCAATTGCGACGGAAAGAACTGTTGCTCACTCCCATTAACAATTAACTGACTAAAATGAGCAACTCCACGGAATCAATGTTTCCTGTTCTACTGTTTTACCCTAATGAGACAGTCTTAGATCAAATATTCGTCTTACTTGTTTAGTCTACGCATATCTGTGTCAAATTATAATAATTATGATAAGCTCAATCCTACACGCATTTTGATTGGCTGTTACGTATGATAACTTGGAGGACAGACGCATATAAGACGTCACCATCCACAACATTTTGCTTATTTATCATTTAAAACAAATGTCATCTGTGTTCTATTACTGAACAAGCGCATGGCAACATGGAATCTATTTCGAATATGGAAGCGATCCTCACAGTTATGAACACTACTTGTGAGTAGTAGTGAAAATAAAGCCTGAAAAAAAATTCACGCCCGTACGGGATTTGAACCCATGATCTCTGCGATACCGATGCAGCGGTGGAATCTATTTGTTAGCTATTACTACAAAAGCAATATTTTCCGTGGACACCTACTCATCTCCAAGTATTCTTGGAAGAGTCCTTCATTTTCCACCAGTTCATAGTCGGCCTCCCAACGAGGTTTGCTTTCTTCTTTGGATGTACCGCGCTTCTTTCTCTTGAGCCATTGTTTTAACATCCTACAGACAAATCATCAAGCACTTCACTTATGAGAGGTATTTAATTTCGATCAGCCAACAATTTCGTCTGGAAAACCCTCAGCTTCTTCCCTAAATGCTGAACCATCGTCTTATAAATTTCAGGTTGCTGGTTACCCAAAGCCATGATTTTTTTTTCTTTGCAGAAAAAATAGATCTCTTTATTGAGAGCTGCAAAAGCAAACCTAAGTAACTGAAAGAGGTTATCATAATACAGGCAAAACTCGCAACCAGGCTTGAGAACGGAGAAACGTTTGGTTAACGATTGGTTTAAGGTTTGCCTCTGATTGCTTGATGAATCATATAATATTTGAGCAATATTCAATTGAGTGTCGAAAGTTTCCTGGGATTGCGTTGGTTTTGATTTACTTCACTCTGTGATTGGTCCAAAAAAAACTCGCAGCACTTTCTCTACCAATCAGATGCAAATCACGACTTGGTCACCCGCATCTTCCCGCGCTTTTTGGTTGGTTTTACTTTGAGTTCTCACTGGCTCTTAAAAGTCCTTTCCTTTCTTCTGATAAGCTGGTGTGATTACTTTGGTTTTGATTTTACGATACTCAATCAAAAAGCGCTCTACACTAAAGCCGAAACAATCCAGGATTTCCTAGAACCGCTATGTACTAATCTAACTCAGCGTTATACTTACGGAATAACAATCTCCTGCACGTTGTTTATGGTTTGTTTACCAACCATGATGATCACAAGTTGCTGAGCCAGCTCCATAAGACAGCCACTAGGTGCACACTAGTAAACAACAAATCATATGTTGGTGTGAGTTACAATAACGAAACCTACTGGCTGTGTAAAGTCTCGAAATGTGAGCGTGACACCATTACTCTACCTAATGATGACTTTCACAATCTAGCTTACCTCTTCTTGCCTGAGGCCAAACAATCTGCGGTAATGTCCGGGGTAACCAACCAGCCTACAAACAAAATGCACAATCCACAAATCATGAGTACCCCGCACTGATGTGAAGTTAAATCTCCTTATCAACCCCTTCCCAACCCCTCCAAAACCTCTGAAAATAACTTCCCTCCGACATTATAAACATGATCAACTGGACGATCACACGCGATGTAGGGCTTGAATGTAGAATACAACACCAAGCGAAAAATGTCAATTGTGATTGTCGTAACTAGCATAAATGAATATTTTGCCGCTACGTATAAGAGGACTGGAGGCGGGCACGAAGTGAGTGGGGCGTTATGGGATCGTAGTTTGTAAGTTGAGGTCGTCAACCGGACACACAAAGTGTTGATATTAACACTTTGTGTGTCTGGTTGAGTTGTGATGGCAAAATAACCCTAATAGTTTAAATATGCTCCTAAAACTACTTTCTTACTTTCCCTTGAAGAATGCAATATAGAAGATGGACGAGTAGAAGTTCACAAACTGGAACACGAAGACCTTGAAAGTCAAACTGTCCTCATACTCCGTCTGTGTTCTGTGCATTTCTACGGGCATAAAGAAACACAAACTTTATGAGACCAGTTCACCACAAGGAGTGGTCACGTTCTTCTTCCAGCGCGACAAGGGTTGGTCTGTCAGTAGCAGGGTATCACTGTACCCTCTACAGAGAGGGGAGCCCTTTGCTTAAGTTTACCGATTCATTTCCTTTTCTTCTACTATCAATTTGAGACAACTTACCCCAATGAGTCAATGCTAAGGCGACTCTTTCGTAAACCTACAAAGGAATGCAGAATTCTTCAGTTTACCTATAATATGAAACAACTTCATTCTTTTTCCTTGATACTCTAAATTACCCTTGCATGGGAAGGCAACTTCAACAATATTTTCTTTGTGGGTACAAAAGAGATTGCGTAAAGGATTGTTTAGGACTATCTATTGAATTTCGATGTCATGCCATGGAATGTAACGCTGCGCTCCTCGGACAGCTGTCAAATTTTCCCGGACAGTTTTCCACTTTGGGACTTTTCCACCGATATACTACCCGCCGTTAGAAATGCTTTTTAAAGATATGAATACAGTGACTAGCAGTATGTGATAGACTGTACCCACCCTGCTGAGGATCATGATGATTGTCAAGTTGACAAATGCGCCAGTGATGTTAGCGATTTGTTGAGCTCGAGCTCGGGTGGATGGATTAGAAGCCAGCGGTCGGTAAACCAATAGCTTATAGACGATCACTCCCACCATGAACACCAACACTAGAGAAACCTGATCAAAAAGAACAAAAACAAAAAAACAAAAAACAAAACAAACAAACAAAAAAGGTAAGTATGGTTAATAATATTGAAGATAGGTCTCATAATATTCATAATATAATTACCTAAGCACTCCCACTTCTCCAGATCAGTACATGTACTTTGAATAAGCGAAAAAACAGACAACAAAACAGACAACTGCGTGCGAAAACAAGACAAACCAAACCAAACCAAATCAAAAACAGAGGCATGCGAACATAACCGAGACGGTAAGAGAGATGGTGTGGTGGAGCATGTACGGGAATGGAGCGATTGCCTGTACTTTCAGGCAATGCTTACTAAATGCTCCAAAAAAATTACAGCTAAGATGCGGTATTCTCCGCCAATCAGATGCGATTGAGTGCTGTCATTCTGCCGCCAGTTAAACATCGTTATATTCACTTCACATTTTGACAAATAGGCCTGTCTAAACGAGAAAATGAGCGATGCCGAATTAAGGGTAAACTATGTTAGTCGTTTGCACAGTACTAACACACAACCCACAATTCCTCCATTCGCTCTGACGAAGGGCTAACGCTCGAAACTTCAGCTTTAAAACTCTTTATGGTGGCCAATTTACGTTATCAACTCAACTGACAATACTTAATCAACCAGTATTACTAACATCTTACCATAGTAATAACAATAGCTATTCCCGAGAAGACTCGAGGTTGTCTCTTCTCATCAGGGAAATGTGGTTCAAGTATTCCTGTTACTGGGTTTCGTTCTACTGTTGGTGCTAAAGCTGCAAATGTTGGCCGTGGACGTTCCTGAACAAACGAAAGAAACAATGTCAAGGCGAATAAATTCTAGGAAAGGTCTTCGGGAGACTCTAACAAACTCGATTTAGAACCCTTCGCTCCAAATGTCTACTTTAAAAACTATTTACTGTGGTCAGTTTACATAATCAAGCCAGCTGATAAACCCCATTTATCTTTTCATATCCCCCACCGACCCAGCACCACATTTTCTTTAGAAACTTTACCTTAATTCATTTACAGTATAAAAGAGAATAGAGGGTGACCTCCTTTATAAACCAGTGAGTGTTGGCCACATTTTACCTACAACAATTATATTTCCCCCAGTAGGAACATTTGTTTACATTACCTCCTCTTCCTCATACTCTAGAACATCCCAGTGATATGCCAGGGTTATTTCTTTTCTCTTCCAAAACTCCAAGAAAAACACCGCTTCAAAATAAAATAACCACAACCATGAGATTAGAAGCCCAAGTCACTGACAAAAGTTACTTTTTTAAAAAAATTCTGACCACTACCACAGGTGGAGCCAAACTTGATGGACAAGAAAGCTCATTGAGAGACATGTAGAGGGCATGTATGTTTCTATGTGTACGTTTTTGTCTCAAGCATATTTAATAGAAGTAACTTCTAGGGAGGCTTTTTTAGATGATAATTACCCCAAAAGGAGACAAAGACAGCAAAGAAAACTGTGGCTGCATTGTCAAACAAGTACGAAACCTGTGGATAGGATAGAAATAGAAAAATGTTGGTTAGATATTGATTTTATTGACCTTACGTACACTAACATATATGAGTCACAGAACATGAAAAAATAGTGGTATATAATCAGTAGCTTGACAGAGAATCTATTTATTTATTTTGTTTTCATCAATGACAGCATGCTCCAAGGGGAGAGGATCTTTTGATGTATTGAGTTGGCTAACATTTATAGATGACTAGGCAGAACTCCCTCATTCATAAAAGTCAAAGGGAAGTTCAAGTTCTGATGAACAGAGAGGTCACACACCTTGCCCAGCATACAACTTGTGTGAAGATCAACTGGATGACACCCAAGGGACTCATCACACAATGGACACATCATGTAGGTTCCTGGAGGACTGTTACACACATCAAGGCTGAAAACAAAAACTTACTTATCAGTTGATCCAACACCAAATCATTAGAAATGTATAGCAGAGAGCAAGGAGAATTACTTAACTATTTAACTCGCAAGATCTGATTGTTAATTATCCTATGTAGCTGCCACACGTTTCCTTGTAAATTAGTTATGAGAACTTGGTGCTAGATCAAGATAGCAGCTTCTACCTGATAGTTTGAGTATTCTCATTACCTGTTTGCTGAAGAATGTATGGATATTGTAGGGAGAAGTTTTATGTTAATCACTTCTGGGAGTTAAAGGCTTAAGAGATCTTGGCAGTGAAGAGGTTAATGGTTGAATGATACTCACGCAGGTTTGTTGTCAGGTCCATTCATGGTTATGACACCATACAGAAACACCAGCAGTCCAACAAATGATGGCATGAGAAGCCATGCTGTGTACTGACCTAAACATCACCATTGGTCAAGAATTGAAAATCTTGAATTAATTTGAATTGTAATTTTAAAAATTTTTGGAAGCTCTGAGACTTCAGATTTGTGTTGGAGATTTGATAAAATTGGAAACAGTCCTACCTAGCCATGCAAAATAAATACCAATCTTCTCTCCAAAGTATTCCCTGAAATATAAATAACAAATTGATATATAAGACTAGTGTACTTGACAGCATAGTAAAAAAACTTATCACATCTCATAACAAATGGGCTGGGTGTATTGGCAGCTGCACATTGGTCAAACAACTCCTTAATTAAAGAAAGATGTTTTTCATCTAGTCAGAGCGTGGGACAAAGAAAAAATTCTGAGTCCCCATGAGGAATTGAACCTCAGACCTTTGGATTTCGCGCTCCATAATAGACCTTGCTCACTGTTGAGTCTCTATGGCTCAGTGATAGAGCATCGGAGTGTGGAATCCAAAGGTCTGAGGTTCCATTCCTCATAGGGACTCAGAATTTTTTCTTTGTCCCACGCTCGTGACAAGACGAAAACATCTTTCTTTATTTCTTTACTGAGCTCAAAACTTACCATCTCTCCAATTTCTATTTACTAACTCCTTAATTTAGCTCCTTCTGAAGAACAACTCTATTTGACTTGTGTTAATGATGCTTAAGTAGCAAGGGTTATATTCGCTTCTTGGTATGATGAAAACTCTTTTGTATACACACATTTAAGATTTTAAACCTCAAAGCAGAACATCTGATACAAAATTCTCTTGAGTACCCCCTCCCCAAAAATACAAATTAAACAAAATACGATTTAATTGTAGTATTACAAACCTGATATGATCAAGAGGCTGATACTTCAACCACTTTCCCCACCGTGCCCAGTATTCTTTCAGGATCTGCCTTTTGTTAAGTTTGATTTCCTCAGGTCCATCAGGTCCTTCTTTCCATTCCTTTGGCAGCTCTGCAGGTCCCTGGTGTGAAAAAATGTGTAAATGTGTATTTATTACTTACTATGCAGCTGAGTGGTACTAAAATTGTGTGAGTCAGCAATTGTCCTTTATAGGATTTTTTAATTTAACTGATATAGCACACTTAGTTAACCCCTTAAGTCCCAGAAGTGAGACTACTGGAACTCTTCAAATAGAAGTTATTATCTTGATCTAAAACCAAATTATTGTAAGTGATTTACAAGGAAATGTGTGACAACTGGAGGGGAGAATTTACTAGAAAATCTTGAGAGTTAAAGGGTTGATTAAACAACTGAAAATTACCTATTGCCAATTAAATCCCCAGATACTTCCACAAGACAGCTCTATATACCATTAGCACTGTCAACCTCTAGTTCTCTGGACAAAAATATATTTCACCTTACTGTTGGCAATGAGCAAAATTTCATGTGTTCAATTTAAAAAGATGAATAAATATCTAAAATGGTGGCAAAAAACATCACATAACCTTACCACATGAAGAGGATACCCAGCCTTGAAAACTTCTTCTTCAACAAGACGATTAATGCCTGTAGAGAAACATAATTCATTTTCTTATTATACTACCTTTCTTTAGAACATATTTATGAGAACAGTGATTGGTTCTTTTGAAAGAAATTCTTGAGCTTGATCCTTACTTCCCTAATATCCTAAATTTTGTGCATAATATTAAAAAAAAGTATTATAATAATTCCAGATGATGCTTGAGAGCACAGGTGGTATTCTATTTAAGAACTCATCAGAAAGTGTAGGATCCTGCTCAGTCTTTACTTCTATGATCACATAAAAGTAATTCTTACCAATTTCTCCTTTTTGCCTCTTGCCAAATGGAGCTGTTTCCATAATTTCATACACCTGGAAAGAAAGGCAGAGTATTTTACTATGAGATATTAACTCTATCCTTACCATATCCTTTATTGCTATACACCACTTGGAGTCAAAAAGTATAAATTCATTATTACAATGATAGTCATTAACAATATTAACTCTAAAATACTAATTCTAATCAAAACCACCAGTTTAACCCTTTGACCCTAAGAGTGACTAGCAACAAACTTCTTCTTACAAAATCACCCCTGGATTAGACTTTAAGGTCACAAGAGTAAAGGAAATGACCATCAACTACAGTAATTGAAAGCTCTTGATTTTTAAACAAATTCTCCTAATCAGCACCATAAGAAATATATAAAGAACAGTATGGAGAATATGCATACTGATGTTAGGGTGTAAGGAATTAAAAAGTTTTTGTGTCTTGACTGGTAAGAGAGGATAGCTGAAATGATATATACCACAATTTGTATGAGAAAGAGATAGAGGCCATAAACATGCATATATGTGTATGTTGCAATTATTTGAAGAGAACTGAAAAGTCTCAGCTACTTACCACTCTTGTTCTTTCTGTTTCTGTAAAGTAGTTATCTTGATCTTCATGGCCAATAAACCTGGCAGAAATTATGAAAAAAATATTGAAACATGAACCTAATTTGACCCGGAACATGGGCATATATAAATAAAATAATATAACTAGGATTGTGTTAACACACAAAATTTTGTGCCTGGGAGGCACTGGTTTGAATCCTGCTAAAGCCTTAAGTTTTTCAGGTCTGCAATTGCCCATATCACAGCTGACCTGCAAGGATCATTTCTTTATTTGGCATAGTTTGCAAAGTATGTTAACCCTTTAACCCCTAAGAGGGACTGTCATCTAATTTCTCCTAACAGTATCACCTGTGAATCAAACAATGTCATGAGAATAAAGGAAATGATCACCAACCAAAGAAGGTCTAGTCTGTTTGAAAAATTCTCCTTGTTCATGCCATACGCATTGAGTGGAGGAAAGTGTGGAGAATATGCATGCTGTTGTTAGCGTGTAACGAGTTGATTGTTCGTAAAAAAAATCCTGCAAACTGTAACGTGGTAAATTGTAATGGTCCAGCTGGGTGACCAACTTACTTGTTGAGCTTGTTCGCTTGGAATGTGCATGTGAAGTAATCATTGGGTGTGCCTGGTACATCATCCTTGAAGATGTTTGGTATGCGAAACTTTTCTAAGATTCTTTCTGACCAGTTTACCTTCTTCGTTGTGCGAAGCTATTGATAAAAAGGGCAAATTTAGAATCATTTTAAGTTAAAGTTTGTTAACAATAAATAGCTATTATACAGTTTACCATTAAAACATTCTCTCTCTATTAAATTTCCCAAAGCTCATCCTTTTTATCGTTACTTGAAAAGAAATGCAAACAGAAATGAAGATAGCTGGATTCTAACCTCGAGCGGGGCTCTGAAGTTTAGCTCCTCTGCATAGAACAATAGCACTTCCCATGGAGCATGACACTTGATAAAATGTAACTTGACTTTCTTGTCTTGAGTCACCTCCTATGGGTTAAACATGGAATTTTTCAACACATATTTTCCTACTCAATTACACTGTTCATCCGCCATCTTGAATAAAAATAGCAGGGGTAACCTGGTGCTCAATGTAAAAGGCATAATCTGTGGTGTAAGCCCTATCTTTATGTCTCAAGAAAACTTGGTAATCATTTTGGAAGCAGAGGACGCTGTGATTAAAGGGGGTAAATTTCTAAAGAAACTGTGGTGCTGCGTCGGTGGGAGAGTATACAAAGGTAATTTGGCACTATAAACTGAGTTGATATCGTGAATTGGGCCCGGTTAAGAGTTTCAAAGCTGACGTTTCGAACGTTAGTCTTTCGTCATTCTGCCATTACTACTCTCTACAACTCTCGACTAGCTACGTTCGGAATGCTAATATTACACAGGTAAAGGATTTGTGTACACCAATTTACAAGCTTTGTATTGATTTTTAATCCTACAATTAAAGGCTCATACTGCTTATACTAAAAATGAATTTATCCAAAGTCGTACCTCTTCAAATTCCAGCTGAGACTTGGCTAAATTTTCCAGAAACTTTTGTCTTTTCTCAAGATGTTTAGGTGGAGGCGCCTTCTCTTCTTCTTCATAGACAAGCACAAAGTCTGTAAAACAAGCAGTAATTTGTAACCATCTTAAAATCAGACGAAACAAGGATTGCATGATGGGAGGGGTTGGGGTGGGGTTTTTTTTCAAAGGGAGGTGGGGGTCAGCTTCTCAGGGAGAATGGCTTCTCAGGGAGAATGGCTTCTCAGGGAGAATGGCTTCTCGGGGAGAATGGCTGACTACTGGCCCATGAGTGAAACTGCTAAAGGATTTTATTATTATAAACTCTTGTCAGAAAGTTAGAAAAACAAAGTCAACCATTGTAAGTGCACAAGAGTTGTAGCATATGTTTTTCATGAAGAGTGAAGTGTGGGGTTTTTATTAAAAGACAGCTTACCAATCCTTCTTTTGCCATCTTTGAAGTAGCAACCTCTCTCACCACTCATGTCTTCATCATTATCAAAATTCTGCATTGAAAATAATTCATTGACTTATTTATGCAGTTTTTACAACTCAAACTGAGTGACATTTTTGCCTTGAAATATCACTTTGTAGCATTCACAAAAAATCCTCAGATTCTGGGGTTCTCTGGTCTTACAACACCTAATATGTTTTGCTGCAACTACATGAATTTGAGTACCAGTAAACCTGTGAAAAAATATGGTTTGGTGGAGCTAATGAAACTGCTAATTGTTATAAGTTTTGCTCTCAGAGCCTCTCATTACATGAAAAATTATTATTTAACTCTAATACATGTAATATGTAATTTTTTAAGTCATTACATGCAATAATTTTCAATATTAAGCAGCCATTAATTACTTAATTATTATAACTAGATTAAACTTGAAATTAACTTTTGTTATTCTGTTATGTTATATTTTAATGAGGGATTATATATTTGATTTGTAAAGTCATTAATTAACTAAATTAGTATATTAATTAATTAAGAAAAAGTTTTCAAAAATGGTGACTAAATTGACAGTGCATATGGTTGATTCTTGGAACGTCCTGCTGAATGGGAAATTTTTTGAATTGTCAACTGTTTCAAAGAAGTATGGTTTATTTACTGTGTGTGAAGGGAGAATGGAGATGAGTTTTCTTCAAGTTACTAGGAGTTTTTTAGAAACTGAGTAATTCAAAGATTAGTAGAAACATTTGGTGAATGGCATGATAAACAAAACTCAACGAAAGTCAGATGGTGAGAAGTATACAGCAGGTATTAGACTGATGAAAAGCTAAAAGAACTAAATGTTATAATATGTTTTTGTTTTGATCCTGAAATAACTCAATAATCTTTTCATTTCCTAAAAGTAATTTTGTGAATCTCTGGCATGTTTTTGTTTGGATCCTGCAATAGCTAAAAAATCTTTTTGTTTCCTAAAAGTAATTTTTGTGAATCTTTTACTGTATGTTTTTTTTTACATATTTAATTTTGTATAACAAAAATGAACATTCTACAGTCAAGTGATTATAAACACAAAATTTTGCATGAACTTGAGAAATACCTCTAGGGTCAATTTTTTTAAAATTGAAAGGTTTATCATTCTTCAGGGAAAGGTTAGGAGCTTTTACTAGTGGTTAGTGTATTTATTTGATTAATTTGTTTCCTGTGTAATAACGAATTCATGTGCCTTAGGATATTATCAAGTTCAGTTTTCAGAGCAATTTATACTCAATTTAGTGGTACATGTAAATCTATTAGAGTTTTGTCAGTGCATTGAATTACACAGAAATCCTTGAATTTTTTTAACACTGTGTTAATTTAACTCAGTCAATGTGTTTAGATGGTTGCTAGGGAACAGAACCTTGTAAATTCCATTGTAAGCTGGATCAAAAGTATTATAAGAAGCCATTTCCTAGAAAGAAAGATGAGAAGAAAAAGAAGAGAATTAAAACTGTTGCCTTTTTATACCAAAGGATCTTAGCACTACACAGAATTTCTGAATACAACAGTTATAGTTGATCGTGAATTAAAAGTAATTCCAGGAAAATAGGATATTGAATGTGACTGAAAAGTGACCATCAAAAAATCCCATTATAATTGTTAATTGAAGGAGGATTTATTATCAGTGATGACGATAATTATTTTTCAAGAGCTGTTCAAGTTTATGGACAGAGTTTGCCTTTTAATGTGCAAATAGTGCTTCATTTGTGTAGATAAATATCAAAGGCCTGATTTGCCTTCAGTAATAAGATAAATGAGAGGGAGAGAGAGAGAGAAGTAAAAAAGGCCACCACAAATTAAAGTTACCCTGACCTTGGGAAGCAGAGGGATAAGTGACAAAGGGCAACGGTAAATTCCATCTCAGATCATGTTTTGATCACATTAATTTTGTTTTAAATGGTGTTTTGATCAGTTTTCAACTGCTAAAACAAGAGAGATTACTTATTGACTTTTAGGAATGACGCTCCTTTGAATTCTTGAATTATCTTACATGAAAATGTTATTATGGTACTTCTTTGAAATGGAAACTTGCTCTATTTGCATTCAATACTTATGAGGAATCTTTCTAAATTGGAGATGGTAATTGATGAAATTTAGCCTTATTGTAATGAGTATTTTCCTGTAATGAATGCTTCAAATGTAGGTTAGTTCCTTAAGGTGGTCAGTATCATACACTAAATTACACTACCTACACTATCATAGTTGGGTATTGATTCTTAAAAATTACCAACAAATTTTCACATTAGATTGGTACACTATTTTAGGCTGTAATTATAACCAATTTTGCAAAAGGTTTGATTGACTGTAGTTAATGTGATTCTCAGTCATAGACTGGAAATAAAATTTGAATAATTCAATTGAGCTAAAATAAATACACCTTGTTTGATGGTTTAATATTATACCTAATATGCACAGATGTATTGGGAGTTGCTTGGTATTTTCCAAGCCCCATGCGGGCAAGGAAAAATATGAACAATGAGCAAAATGTTCACTCATATTATATGTTAAACCATTGAATAAGGGATTTATTATTCTGCTATAACTATTTCATTTTCTTGTCTTTTGGGTTCTAGTTTTTGAAATGTCACACAGTCTTATGTGAGTATTGTACAGATTACATAAGGGGTGTGTGAAAGAAAACAATGCAAAGAAACCATTTAAGTGTTGTTCATGATGCAAAAATTATTGTGGGCTTTGAGGTTTGTCTGTATGTTTTTGTCCTGTTCTACAGTGCATTACCTAGGCATATTTTGTGTGTTCCATTTCCCTTAAATGGTAATATGACATAATAGTTGAATGATAATGTTATTTAGGCAATAGACCAAAAGGGTTGTGAGTCAGTTGTCTCTGGTTTGTGATTTAAAAAATTTTCCCATATTCTCCTGTCATCCCACTGGTAAATCAAACGAAAGTGTGGTCTATTACTTTTATAAAATAACTATGGGTTTACTGGTGCAATATATGATAGGTTTTGAATCATCAGGGCTCTAGTATTATCTCAGGTATTTCATAATGAGAGCTGGCTTAGGCTGCTGTGTTGAATTTTTTGTGGGAATTGTGGTCAATAGTTATGAATAACTTGAATAGGTCTCCAGGTTGAGGAATAATGAAAAATGTTGAAATTCATTAAAAATTATTATTTACTGAGAGAATCATCAATGATCTACTGATTCCATTTAAATTCAGGTGGTATTTAATGAGTAATTGTGTGATTGCATCGGATATCTTAAGAGATTGTGTGACATATGTCTACCTCTTGCTATAAAGAGGTGGTTTCCAATTTCAGTGCCATTCTGGTGATGGTAATCTATCATTACAATATTAGTCTATGTACACAAATGCTTTATCATGAGGTAATTTGATTTTATCAACTGAGTCGATAATGTAAATTGGCCATGGTAGAGAGTTTCAAAAGCTGATGTTTTTTCAAAGCTCTGACAAGGGCAAATGCTTGAAATGTCAGCTTTAGAAAATCTCTATGGAAGCAAATTTTCATTATCAACTCAGTTGTAATACCCCCCACTGTGGCTGCAACACAGTTTCTTCAGAAACTTACCCCCTTTATGCTCTTGTACCATATTTAATGATAATCATATGAATATTTGAAGTAGTTTTAAGGTGTGTTATTACTCTTGTGTAGATTAGTTTGAACTGCTGCTAAAACCTGTTGTCAGTGAAACAAAGGTCCTAAACACGAGTTTGTTATACAGTGGTGGTGATAAAATTATTGTCACCGGTGTTTTTTTAAGATAAATATTGTTCACTTAGAATGTTCCCTCTTCAGTTTTAATCTTTTTTAATCAGTTATTGTGCTAATGCTATAGTATAAGAAGGCTCATAAATCTGTCACACTGGAAATTCTGAACGATGGAACTTTTGATTTTATGATCGGGGGATTTGCGATGAATAAAACCTGTCTTCATTCTGTCATTAACAGTTAAAAATACCTGTTGATCTGCCTTATTGTCTTCCTTATTTTTCTCATTCTGATCCTCAGTTTCCATTTTTGTTTCTAAGTTGATTGCACTATAACTTTGCTGTTTTTGTTTTTGTTTTTCTCTCCAAAGGCTCTAGGATATTGTTCTATCTCAGACAAAATCACTTGAAGCTGACTTTCTCTCAGTAGGATCCACTGTTTTGTGCCTTATTGACAAATCAGTGTTAAGTTTGTGACAAATCAGTGTTTGTTTGACATTCTAACATCAAAATAGTATTTGAACAAGTTTGGTGAATTTTATTTTGATGAAATTACCTCTTATTACAATCTCAGCTAACTGAATTTTATGTATTGGAGAAAATGTGTCACATCCAAAAAAATTTCAGAATATATTTTGTACCAGTTGAAAGGGAATTGCTGTAATGTGCTCTTTATTCAAACTGTAAAGCAAACTAAGAGTACATGTCAAAATTCAAGCATAGTAATTTGTTGTCATCTCAATAACAGGTGGTACCTGCTACCTTTAGTTAGTAATTGGTAAAAGTCAAAAGTCTAAGGCTTCATTGAAATCATGGCATAACAATCCTAACACAGGTCTTAACACAAACGTTTATTTTGAATTTTGTTTACTTTTGATTTTTTCCTTGAAGTCTAAACTTTTGTAGACATTTCTTCTAACTAGGTGAGTTTCAATTGCATGCTTTTCTTTTGCTTTGAAATGATTCGAGCAGAGATTATAACATTGTTGTTCTTTTATTGTGACTTAATCTGTAAACAAAATAGCAAATGACCTTGACATTTGTAATTTAGTTTACTCTTCTAAAAATTCATAGCTGTTTTTTTAACTGAACAAAGACCAAATTTATGCATTTTTCTCTCAAAATACAGGTATTTGTAAACACGATTTTCTTTCATTTTTTAATGCAAGTAAAACTAATCACCAGATGTGGAGGGAACACGTTGCTGCCCTACATGCCTGTTAGGTGTAAAGGACGTGTGTGTGTGTGTGTGTGTGTGTGTAAAACTAAAATGTATCCTTAGTTTTGGAATTTTAAGTTTATTTAAATAAAAGAAGAGAGAAGAATTATTTTTATTGTTCAATGATCATAAATATCTGCAGTAGTATATTTTGGTAAAGTCAATTGTTAAGAATTTTTACCATCTAATTTATGAGGTATGTTTGAGTGGCTGGAAATGGATAACTTAAGATTTGTGAATTGTTTAACAATTTGCTTATAAGGGGTGTGGTAGTACCTTTTGTGGTTTTTTTAGTACTTTAACAAACAAACCATCAATCATTATGCTGAGATCTACAGTTTGAAGTATCATCAATCATCAGATTTGACTTCTTTAAGGTTGGTGTTGGGCATAAATTGTACTTTTGGCAAAATGATTTGCTCCACTCTATACAAACAACTGCAGTAAGGTTGAACCTGGCCTTCTGATTTTTCACAATGATTGTAACAAGAAATCTGAGTTAACATAAATTATTAAGTCCCTTATGGTGAGTTTCAATACTGTTTTAGTGAAACAAGATTGGATGTTTAATAAAGCAATGGAAGAACTACCTACATGATTCGCCTAACAATATAGATAAGTTGATATTCTTTTTTATTTCACAAGTATAAATGTTTGCTAGCAGGGATTTGAAAGTGATTTGTGTTTTGTACCTGTCAAACTTTCCTCAAAGATACAAAACTTTTGTTGTTATTTTCCATGGTGTGAAGTAGTGGTGTTCCAGATCAGGGCCCAGTTTATTGAAGGCTGATTAGTGCTATAAACCTAAAGTCAAATTATAATCCAGATTCTTTTATTCCTTTGTTCATGGGGACAATTTCTCTGTTCCCTGTAGAGCATCCAGTAATCAAATTAAAGACAATAAGAGTGATACTGAATTTTCTTCCAAGGCTTCCAGATCTGAAATCAGATTTCACACTAATCCAAGATTTTCTTAACCTAGATTTGAAAAAACCGGCTCCCCACTGTATTTTGTATTTTAAGTATTGGTTAGGTTCATTTGTCCTCATTCCAGAGTTTTCTTTAAAGAAATCCACAATTCTTTTGGGCTTATGAAGGAGAATGAGTAAATAAAACATTTGTCAAGTTTAGTACAGTGTGATGTGCTAACATTAACACCTGGTGTTAACCAGAAAAAAATATAGTCATTTGAATTATTTTGATTCCTAAAGTAATTAGTGTGTGAAGTAAAACATGTTCAGTATGGTTTATTTGTCACAAATGTTTCTACTGAGTAGTTTTCATTCTGTGATTTTAATTGAATTACATGCAAAGTGTGAATAAGAGGTGTTGGAACACAGCCTCTAGCTTTTGACTTGTGTTATGCATGTTTAATTTCCAAAATTTATGTATTTTAAAAAAACTCCATGGAAACTGTATAAGCACTGCTAATAACAGTAGGTTATCCTAAAATCTGTAGTAGCACTTTTGTCGATGTGTTTTGACATAGGAGTTATTCATTTTTTGTTATTCCAGTTTTTCCTTAGGACAGGTTTGCTGACAGGCTTTTCTCTATCATTCAAGCTATTTCGAGGTTTAGGACAATAAGTACAACCAGAATGCCTTTTTAATGAATTGCTTTTGAGTAAACTCAAACCCTTAACATTATTTTGCCATCCTTTCTGCACATGCACATGATGACTGTGATAAATTATTCATGGTATCTTAAAAGCCCTTTTGGGTCCCAAGTTCATCACAGTTAATTTGAAATATCATTTAGTTTTTTTAGAATTTTGTTGGCTTGTTTGATTGCAGGCTGATTGTAGAGTTGAACTAGAACAAGGTTTTGTGAAACCTACTTTTATTGTTGAACAAAAAATATAGGTAAAAGAAAAAGAGGAATTATCATTTTAGTTTGTCTCCCTTAATTTAATTGTTGCTTCTCGTCACAAAGTTGTTGTAAATCCAAAGACTCTTTAAAAAAATACTTCTCCAAAGGAGGAATCCAGCCACGACATCTTTTCTGTTTGTTGTGTTACATGCTTATTTCTGATAAATATATATTTTTGTAGTAATGATCGGAGGTATCCACTCTCTCGGAATATTTGCTCTTATCCAATAATGATCTACATCCCACACAATCATGGTCATCAACCATATCATTAATTCGGTTATGTGACCCAACTCCTGTGCAGTCGTACTATTATTATTATTAAAACCTGCATGGTCCCTGCTTGAGATGTCAAAAACTTACGATTATGTAAATCTTTTGGTAGAATAACACTTGGGTGACTTGTTTCATTTATACTAGAAGGTTCTTTGAAGTTCTTGGAAATTAGTCTGATTAGAAGTTAGGGTTGTGTTATTCGTAAGTACATATAAAGCTTTAAATACACAAAGAATGACAGATTAAGGTATGCGTTTTTGAATACCTCTGTCGCCTATGAAACGGCTCACTTATTAAAATAGTTATTTTATTTTTGTTACGAAAAAGGAAAAAAAATTACCGAGGAACTTTTCTGTTTTAATTTCTCTTTTAAACTGAAGTATATTCAGTTGGAAATTTGGTGCTCAAAAATTAGTGCTAATTGTTTTTATACACTGCATGCCGTGTTAGTAATTGCAATCCTTTTCACGTTGCTTACTCTAACTGGGACGATTGAAAACCACCGCCTTAATTCTCAATCATAATTAGAATTTTTGTGACAGGGATTAAGAATAAAAGGGAAAAAACGTATAGGTGGCAGAATTTCATCGTCAGCGAAATATGAATTTCGTTTAAAATCCGTGCGAGTGTCTTTAATGTTCGCTATAACACACGTCCAAGTATCTTTGTTGTCAGAAAATAATAGCAAAATAAACAAAACCTCAGCGCTGTTTAAATCTATACAAACATGTACCACGGAAAGCACCCTACATATGCAAATTGCTACGCTTTCTTTAGAGAACTGAACAAACAATTGTAGCATCGAGGCGTAGAAAAAAGCTGAAGTGGCATTTAAATTCGTTTTCCCGTTTTCTTTTTCATGGCCTGGTAGCAGTATGCACTGGCTCCATGTTGGGTATAATTAATCTTCGCAATACTACGTGCTGGTTGGGCTCGTGCCTTTGAAGTGGCTTTTGTTTCCATAGAGAAACAAACAGCCACATGTAAAAAGGTTTAAGATTTTAGCGAGGTCGACCTGACGATGCTTTCATTTGTAATTAAGTAGCCCTCGGGGATTGTAGGTGAAATTTTCGAAGCACGAAAACACGCGGGAAAAAAATCACTGAATTTCATTTCAAAACAAAACGGTGATTCAATTGTTGCGAATGCGCATCTCCAGTTTAAATTCCAAGTAACTTGCTGCTAGCCATTATTCAGTTAGTACCTATGCGCAAACGGTACCTTTTGCAAATTATTTTCGAGTTTTTTTCCTTCGTTTGAATTCCCCGTCCTTAACGTTACTCCGTCCTTTTTTTCCGCATTGTAATTATACTTTGCATAAACATGTTTTCTAGCTAGTTCCTTGAAGCTGCTTAGCAGAAATTTGTCGATTGTGTTGAAAAAAATAAATATTATGCCAAAGAACAGAAAGTCGACGGTCCAACATGATGAAGTCAATGAAAGAAGAGCCAAAAAAATATCACCGAAATTTAAAATATCCTCATGATAAATCGGCCATGACGCCCGCTTTCATTCATTTTTAATAACTTTCACTTTTCGCTAGGTCGATCTTTGATCGAATCGAAATCACCGCATTTGAAGAAAGAAAACGACTTTTCGTGGGCAATTTTGAGAAGATTTCTGCGTTAATTTTATCTTACTTCAGAAGACGGAAGGAGAGAATCGAAACACCAGCCGAAATTGAAGTTTATAATCGTATATTTTGAAAGCAGCAAGTTTTCAATCACACAACCTGTCTTAACTGAAAAGGTTATAATTCACGATTAATTTTCTTTACCTTCTCCGTACCTTCTGATGACGTTGTTATTTGATTTTAGCTTGGATGATTCGATGAAAAAATTGCGACCGCATTTCTGACAAATTTTCTCGCATGATACAATATGGATGCGATGGATGTCAATTAGGGGGACTGGTTGCTTGAGTAAGGATTCGAGATGCAGAGGCACATTAAAGAGCAAAGCGGATTTTTTGGAAAAACCAAATAAAAATTAACCTTAAATTTAAGCTACAAGGTTTACACATAAAACAAAAAAATGTAAATACCAGAGACTCATTCGCGGCCAGAGGGTCGGTGTCGTCCATCTTGTTGTAAGACCTAGGCATGGCTCCTCAGAAATGCTTTGTCAATTTTTACGCCTTAAATGTCGCTCGCAATTGAAAAAATCCTCCATCGAGACATCACAAACCAGATAATATATAATCGTACGGAACCGTTGACCAGAACGGATTGTTTTTTGTGTCACATAAGTTCAGAATATTAAAGATCACCTCCTTCAGCGAGAAATTCAAATCAGTTCGCGAGAAATTCACTAGGAATCAAAATAGAAGCCCCCGCTCCCGGTCTCAACCAATCAGAGTGAAGAATATACCTGCTCTTACATTGTAAGTCTGACAGCTGCTTCGAACGACATTTACATCGACAGACTCAAATAGATATTTCGTTTCTCTATTAAAAAAATCGTACTTGAACTAGATTTGTTTCCATTCTGTTTACTTCCATGCTTTCGCATACATCGACGAAGCCTGTTCCAACACGTACTAAACAGAAAATTTTACCGCTTTTCAAATTAAAGTTAGCGATAATTTATTCAAGTGAAGCCGAGGGGCGAACAGAGGTGAAAGCCAGTATTTGTGTTAATTGAATATTCGGTAATTTTGTTGAATAAACATCTAGCCCAAACAAATTCCATGTCATTCCCTGGTTGTCCCTACGCTGTGCGGAATTGTAACTTTAGGCTGTTATCACCCATCAGGTTTATGTTTGATCTTTCTTTCCACGGCAAGATATTTCTGCTTCCTGTGTTCCTCCTAAATATCAGCTTATTTCAGAGCCAAAGACTATTAAAAAACAACAAAAACAAGCAAACACATCTTGCTGTAGGTCTGAAAAATAACGGGCGTGAAGCATCTACTTTTAAAGGGAAACTTCCACGCGAATTTGTTTCATTTAATATTTTATTTACTCAGAAGGTCAAAATTGTAAATTCATGATTTCATTATACAGTATTTTCAAGCTCTGAAGGTCCCATGAAGACGTAATGTATTTACAATTGTTCAAAAATATTTTCGTTCTTCTTTTGATCTTCAGGCGATTCAGAATATTTTTTTGGCCGTATTTTCTTTTTTTAATCGCGGACGTTTGGCAGATAAAAGAAAGAGTAACTTCAATATTAAATACCATTTGTGGTTTAGAACGTGAGAAACAGCCTTTCGACAAAACCAGCGGATTAACGAACCTAATGCATCTAATTTCATGAATGATCTTCACCAAGGTGGTTGTGGTGGCATATAATGACAGTCAGCCGTTTGCCTTACAGTAAGATTCCTAGGTGGCATTCATTTCTCCATTTATATCATCTCTAATCTGACGTTTGGCATTAAATTGATATACGTTATCTTTTTTTGGATCAATACGTAGCTTCTATTCTGAGACGGCGGCAATCTTGCCGAAGAAATGATATGATCGCCCTCCTGAGAATAAATATTACTTGAGCGAAACGTATTTGATTTGTTTGTACGTTGTATTAATTTATTGAACTGGTTATGCATTGCGTTGCGTAAAGCAGGCGAAATTTAAAAGAGCCTATGATGGTAGTGTCATGTTTCAAGTTCCAGCATGTAGTCATCAGAAGAAGGCAATCCTCCCATGAGTCCGTGATTGTCAGACATGATCTGCTTAGCCTGGTACGCTTCTCTTTTAATGGCTTGGTCCAGGCCAGCTGGTATATCAGGTACAAGCATGTCAATGAGCCACGATACGGAGAACACAAAATGCTGTCGGAAAAGAGACAGAAATAGAGTTTCGGTAAAAGGAAGCGAAAACTAATCCAGCGACCTACTCCAACCGTAGTTTTTCGCGCGGTATCAGGGCAGTACACCATGTGAAATTGCTTCTATCCTTGGTTGGGGTGTTTGGTCATCACAGGAATTCCACCTAGCTTATTTGCGAGATTCTCTTTGGGGTAGAGTCATTGTTTGAAATGCCCAGTCCGAGAACATAACACATGGCCTCTTAAGTTCTTTTAAGCCTTGATCAGAGGATAAAGGGCCGGCGAAGGGGAAGTAAGAAAATAATTCAGGCCTTCCGCTGTCAGCTCCTCGCCTGCTGACCGATTTTGTTTTAGCTCGGAAAATGACTGAAGCCTGCACTTGGCACGAAATGCTTGACGCAGGGTGCAGGGCGCTGGTCATTGGTTCAACCCACTTCCCTACCTACTATGACTGATGTAAAGTCCAGTAATCAAACGAAAATCATTTTATATCGGAAGGACATTCGAGAAAGTTACAGAAAGTGTAACTTGGCAGCTATTTGTAACCTGCGTGTGTGATTTGTGTGGACAGATTCGTTCCTTTTCTCGTAAACAGTTTCGTTTTCATGAGTTTGAAGATTTGAGCGTTCGTAACACGCTCCCTCTTGTTCATGAGAAAAGCGTTCTCAAGCAATGGACGCGAAGGGAACATCTTGGAGTAAACGTGCAAAGATACACACTTGGAATGAAGCCCGAGGGTTGAAACATCAAAATAATTAGAAGTTGCAATCTCTTGGTGATTAATTAGTTCAACTCACCTCGAATAAAATAACAAACCCCAGCTTTAATGTCACCAAATGCCAATAAAATTTGCTCGGACTACCATCAGGATTATTAAATTCGATATACCTGTGGAGATATGGTAGAGTTATTAAAAGACGCGACAGGATCCAATAAATTAATTCGACTTTTGCAGATCGATGTTATGAAATATTTATGATTGAATTTAACCAACCATTAAGACTTGGTGAATCCTGTTAAAGTTTTATTTTTCAAGATCAAAGCTTTCAATTTACGTAACATTCCCGATAAATATTTGACAAATCACCCGCTAACGTAAAACAATATTTTCAAGGAACTCAGGTGTATGCGCCAGTAATATATATCGCGCACAATAGATGTTGTAGGAATGTTTGGGTTGCAGCTCCGAAGGCAGACTTGTGTCCACAATATTTTCTTCATTATGGTATTCGCCTCCCATGTTTGAATGATCTATTATTCGGATTACGATTAAAAGCTTTCAAACAGAAAATGTCTTGAAAGGTACGAATGTTTTTCTCAATAAATAGCACAATAACGGTTTAGCCTCGAGCAATGCTTATGGCTGATGTTTGTCTTAAATATAGTTTGCTTAGATTTCATACCATGTTCGGTTTGAGTCGCTTTTTTATTTATCGAGTTAAATTTGCGGATTCTTATGAACAAGATCATGCCAAGTAAGAAATCGGAGCTGCGGCGAATTTTAGACGAAATTGGGATGAACATTAAAACATTGTGAATGGAGTTGCCAACGACTATGATGACCCATAATTTTTTTCTCGTTTGAAACTAATCACTCACTTCCTTTATCATACAACAACTACGGCCCCAACGCCTTCACTGAATACCAATGTGAACAGATCCCCGGATGAGGGCCGCATGCAATAGCGCAAGCAGGGCTGGGAAAAGGCTACGGCCCCGCGTGATGAAGGATACAAGGTGCGAGAAAGCAGAGAGAGAAAGAGTGGCTCTTATTGACTGACTTACAGTAGGTCGAAGCAGACGGAAAAATTATGGCTCTCGGTTATTACCTCGAGCCAATGCTTCTCTGAGCGGCGCTTCCACTCGGTCATTAAGCATTGCGTGTATTACGTGTATGTCGTGTGTATGATAATAAACGTGAATTATCACGTGTATTTTAGTTTCTTGTGCTTCCAAACGACCAAGAGAATCCCTTGTTCTCTTCAAAAATTAAACGAAATATTTTAGCGTAAGTCATAGCGCAGAGGAAGGATCTGTTCAAGGATTGGAAAATCTTCCTCGAATACTTTGTACAGTAAGTAGAAGATCGTTTTGGTGACCATGTGACATTCATTTCGCTGTGGATTTCAGAACGATCTGATGGTGCCAACGTCCATAACTTACTACGGCTTATAACTTGTCATTTTAAAGTCCAGAAATTGTAACAGACAGGCTGTTTAGCCGAGATCTGGTCTCTATGTAGTGAACACTTTCCGGTCATTTGATAAATGTCATGCTCTTAACACGTTTGGATTGGTTTGCTCGGGTTTAGTTTTGATGTGTTCCTGGTGACTTTTTCTTTTAGAAAGAGATTATAGTACATACCAACCAGTACATGCCGACCAGAATTTTCATTACGTTTTGTGGTGGACATGATAAGCATCTCTTAGCCGTCAGGGACCTGTGGTTGACTTTTTCTTCTACTGTATCTTGTTAAAAATTTATGAAAAATTTAGGGTATGTGGTTACCTGCAGGGTACTGATGTAGAGTTGGCTGGCGCCCAGGCAAGGCTGTAGTTAGTGTAGCCGTGAAGGGAGCCATCTGGTGATATAGAAGCTCTGTACAACAATTTTGGCAAAAATTGCGAGGTGAATGCTATAAGGAAAGCCTTTGAAAAAGTAAAGAGAAACAAGAAGTATTATGCCTTAGCATTCTAACTCTTTTTAGTCTTTAGTGGGGTCGCTCTGAGTTTGAAGGTAGCATGTGGCCAGAAATATCTGTATGTCTATCAAATAATCATTCTGTTGTTTAACTATTTAATCTAGTTTAGATTAAACAAGAGTAACTGGTTTATTGTAATCTCATTACAAACACTTCAATATCTCCGAACGTATAATTCTCTAGGAAGTAGGTTCTTCACTCGCCTAAAGCGTGAAACAAGCATGACTTTTCAGAGTTATTTGTTTTTTAGTTCTTTTGAGTTTTTCTGCAAATTAAAAACGTGATTTACTAGGATGCTTGTTAAGTATTTAGAATGTTTTGTAGCTCCAATGTTACTTCCGGTCATGATAAGTCACTGCACGAATTATTGATCCACTACAACCATTGCAACTGTACTTACATTACTGATGACAGCCATTTTCGCTATCGCTGATAACATACTGAACCAGATTCCAATGTCCTGTGCTCTATGTGCCACAGGACGCCGCAAATCGCACACCATCTTGTCTGAGTCAATGCGAATCTCAAAGATGTTGTTGGCGAGAGCGAAGAACGGAGCCAGAGGAAAGGCAGCCACAAAGATTGTAACGAAACCAAACTGGATGACTGGAAAAAAATAAGTGAAAAAAAATTACGTTTGTTTGCTGGTTTCATTAAATGTTTCTTTGCTGGTTTCATAAACCCGATTTACCTTACTTTATTGCTATTTAACGATCAAAACGAATACAAAGTGATTGAAAACGGTCATAGCCTGGTAAATCAGATTTGCATCTATATTGGTCGAGATCTACCTATTGAAACCACAGTTATTAGGATCTAAAACCATACAGACAGT